TATTCTAGTTGTTATTTACTTTTCAGTTTTATATTATGTGTTATGATGTAAACACCAAGGGCAGATGTGTCCTTTCATGTAACTAGCATAACATATAAATATTAAATTGAGGTGGCGGCGGCAGAACGTTGAGATTTTGTCCTTCCTTTCAAAGTTTGTGTTCTACTGCTCTCTCACTACTCTTTCCCTTCTTTCCTCTATACTTTCTCTTCTTTTCGAACCTAAAATTTAGTAGTGCTCAAGACTGATAGCAGTCTTGAACATCTACAGAGGAAATGGTTGAAGGTAGTAGTAGAAAACCTTATGTGCTGATTTCGGTCAAGCTTCTTGTAAAAGGAAGAGTAGAAAGTTGGGGATTTCAGCAAGACACAAAGGAAAGGGAAGAAAAGAGAAGAAGGTCAACTAGGATAGATTGACTTAACCCTAGCCGCTAGCCCCTCATTCTATTTATAATTAACTTAAGTATGAGATATTACAAAGATGCCCTWAGTARGGCGGCAACTCAACCTAAGTAATTACAACTCTTTAAAAAAATAAAGACTAATGGGCCCAAGGCCCAACAACATCTTAATTTAAAAGGAAATAAACTAAACACAAGTCGGCCCACTCAACAGTAGTTATATAAGAAATGCCACTTCCCTATGTTGGTCCCAGCTATCTGGTATCTGGGGCCATTACCAGCTTCATGTGAGATGATGAAAAAAACAATTGATCAGTCTCTTATCAGGAAAACTTTATTGGTAAAGAATCAAATATGAATAAAGTGCCAAATGAAAAGAGCAATTCAATCCTCCCCAAACATGCAGTTGCGTGCCAGCTCACTGCTACACTCCCCTAATAAATATCATCCCAATGTAAAATATGTCAGCTTGCAAATACAGATTTCTAATCCTAGAAAACATATCACTTGTCATTAGAAAGAGAAAAATGAAAGACATGAAATAAAAAAGTTCAGACAGTTTGTTGGTACTTCATATTTTGCCTTTTTGACCACCGCAGAAACATAATAGTATTTCAATTGATTTAGCATATTTCTTGCTCTCCAATTGTTAAATTAGTACCTATATCGGAAAATTAAAAATTCCATTTGTGTTGCTTAAATTTATAAAGGAGGGAAGGAAAGAAACAAAGAAATTGACAAAAAGAACATCCATAAAAAGCAAATAATAGGTAGGAAGACGGACCTAAGCCTCGAGCAGCCTTCTTCTCCTCAATGGGATCTTTTAGAGTCTGAGCAAGCTCAAGAGCCGCCTTAAACTCCACAAATGCCCTCTCTGGATCCTGATGCCTTAGAAAATTCTTTCCAATTTTTAAGCGCGCAATCAATTCCTGCTTCCTTGAATCAACAATTATTTCATTCTCCGGTATTCTATTACCGATTGGAGCATAACTCAAGGTAGGGGCATAGGACTCAATCTTTGCTTGCCTCCTTAGTGCTGAATTTATCTGTCGCAATTGGTCATTTAATCGCTTCAGTTCTCCTCTCCTCTGCCTAGCAAGCAATCCTGTGACAAACAGTGTGGTTACATTACAAAGATGATATAGGCAACGTGAGGACCACTTTTCTTTTCATAAAGGCAAAATGCAAATCCAAAATCAGATCTCTATAGTGTCACCTTAACTTCTATGTCTAGGGCATATTTAATTTAACAAATAATAATATGACTACTAGATCCAATAAACATTACTTATTTTTCAAAAAAAAAAAAGAAGCTGCTTAAAATATTGCTTGTGGTATATTTCATGAATAATTATCTGATTGAATCAAAATCAAAAGAAATGGGTTAGTGGGAGATCTACAAGATCCATGATATTGTTTTGGGGAAAGGTAAAGTACAATTATATTAATGATTCAAAAAATACAGAAGCCCATGTATGCTGAGGGGCTGTACAATGGGAATTACATGAAGTATATAGTTAATGACTGTGAAAAAAGATTGTCATAAGAGAGATAAAAGTTATAAAGCACATCGCTGAAGGTGTTGTGAATGCTTAACCATGAATTAATGGATCCTAATAGATTCCTCTTAAGGTTATCAGTGCTGCGGATATTAGTCTCAAAAATACAAGAATTTCTTCCTTTCCAGATCAACCATATTTTAGCAAGAAGCAATAGTCTCCATATTATGCGACCTTGCTTGCTTAGATTTCCAATGTGCCATCCTGGCAGAAGGGCCTCAAGTGATTCAGGAAGTAGAAATAAATCCCAAAGATCAGTAGTGCCACTACCCAGATTTTGGGTGCTACACAGCAGTGAACAAACAGGTGGTTGTGTGATTCAGCTGTTTCTTAGCATAGTGCACAAGTAATGTTATGCATCTTGAATCAATTTATCAAAGTACTAAACAATTTTTGCTATTTGACAATATCATTGTGTGATTAGAATTTCTCAAATCAATCTTTCAGGTAGCAATAAGGATGCTATAATGCAGGGTTAATAACATGCACACTGACAGTGAATTTTTTTGGGTTATAATGGATGAAACATGAAAAAAAACCAAGTATATTGGGGCATGACCACTGATTTGAGGTAACATCACTGCAGTCGCACCTAATATTTACTTGAAGTTTAAACCTCATGATTATGTCTAAAAGTAAATGTCCATGGATGATGAACAAATGCAAGAGATAGCACTCCCTGAGGATTATGCTTTAAAACATATGCATGCATGAGCTTGCACATCCACAGACACAGACTAAATAAACAAAGTTGTAGGCATTAGTAGTACCATTAACTAATAATTCATAACCATTAACCAACTCCAACCACAACTTCAAAACTCCCACTTAAACACTAGTATTAGTCCATAAATGGAACCATGGAACTATGTCATCGATTTTGGATTTATCTTACCTCCAACAGTGGCCCCTACAAGGGCTACAAAAAGCAGTAGAGGCATGTTGAAGACAGAGTTATCAGCCTCACATGTTTCTGCTAAAGCTTCAAAAGGCATGGCCAACATCAGAATATTTGCAACAAATGCTGCTGCTAGGAAACTGGTGGGTACCATTTTCTGCAAAAGCCATAGTTGAATAAGGACTGTGCAACTAAACTTACTTTTCTTTATATGCGTATGTTTGAGCACCGAGTGAATTGAATAAGTACATATACAACCTTAGGCTGTGCTAACATTGCTAGGTGGAAGTAGAAAAGTGGTGCAGATGCATTGATTTAGTGGATGATGGAATTTCTATTCCCCAGGTCATTCTATTTTTCACTGAACTAACATAAAAGGCAGCATAAAAATTGCTACTTTCTGCATTCCCATGGCCCATTTTACAGAGCAAAACAATAGAACAAAGGAAGTGGTGGATTTGGGAATCTTTTTGCATCCAACTTTCTGTTTCCACTATAATCCAAACACAGCCTTAGGTAATTGCATTCCCCATGTTCATAAAGAATTTAAATACACCATTTAAGGGGAAAACATATGATAAACATTGTAAATAAAAGAAAAATACAAAGGCCAAAATACAGTGAGACTCACCATCATACCTGATGAGCATATAGAAGTTCCACAATGGCATGGTTGTGATTAGGTAGCCCTTGATCGGTATAACATGTTTTATCCAACTTGTTCATCTGGATATCAGCAAGCCCTGAACACACATACTGGCTGCTTGGCAGTATGTGACTTATATCAATTGGCATTGGAGTTTTACTGGAAAGATCTGCAAAACACAACCGAATCCTTTCCCCTCTAGTTGATAGGAAATCAACCATCTCTGTAGTCAATACTTTTACTTCAGAAACATGAGTAAAAAACTTCAGGATAGTGGCATGCATTATATCCTTAACACCTGTTTTTGCTGCAAGAAGAAAATTGAATGAGAAAGATAATGCATTGAGATGAAGATGTTCATTATCTGCTTCATACATCTTCGGATAATAGGAAAACCACAGCCAAGCAAGCAAGTATGAGATATCCAAATCAAATGCTTAAAAATTGGAATGAATGCAGATGCCCAAGAGGTATTTTCAAAGTTCAAAACCAAACAAGCATCACCCTACAAACCAGAATCTATAATCATGTCAAACTCACTCGCTAGAAGAGTTTTATTAAACTATATTTTACTTAGAAAGTATAAATTGAAGATGTAGATTTTGAATGAGATGGTTAAAATCTTAAGGTAGGTATCAAGTGTGCAAAAAGCATTTCAAGCTAATATCAGCCCAACCATAGAAATCAGATTGGGGCTTGAAACATTATCTAGATCTGATAGAAGTTAAGCAATTTATATTGCAAATTGCATATTCTTATATTTTTTTCTTTTTATTTTCATAATTCATCCTCTTACCATGTTCTTTAACAAACAACATTAGTGCTCTATTTGCAGAACCACAACAGAAATCAATGAAAAATTAGCAAGAAACTCAAAACAAGTTTAAAGCATAAATTCAAGCATATGCAGGTCTATTTGGACAGCTCCTTTCAGTAGGAGTTTTTGGAATTGAGTTTTGAGCATTTTTGGCATTCTATAGGTGATGTATTGAATATTGAATATTTCATTTTTTTTGTCAAAATGAATGGAATTTAGGTAAAGAAAGAAGACTTGGTATTGCCTCTTGCATATAGCCATATAGTAGTCAATTTGGAAGTGAAGAAATGTCAACATTCTCAATAGCAATAATTCTGAATGTTGGGTATGGTGGTAATGATTCCTCTCCCTCATCATTCACCTCCATTAAAAGGCCTTTGGGGCTGTTAGTTTTGCAAATTCCAACAAAAGTGTACAGAAATACACCTTTGGGGACTTACCCCTGCTGCAACAATTCAAACATAAGTCCGTTGCGTAGAATCAATCTATAATTTCAGTTGACACGATATGCAAGTTATAGTCCAGTTACGGAAATTGAAGCACATTTTAAGCACAAATGCGTGTATCTTGAGCAGGGCAGGGTGCAGAAAAATCAAGTTTATTAAATCCAAACGGCAGCAAACTTCATCATATGCAGTTTAGATCATTAATCCACCTAATTTTGGATTTACAAAGTGGCAGTAACAAATTGCCTACCCTATACGAATCCCTCAGCTATGCAAGTGATCGTAATAATCCTTTATCTGAGATTCCACTTTACGCTTTAGTAGTAAACAAGAAGGAAGAAATTTAAGAAAAGGACGGAGCAGACGCTGGAAAGGTCTTCTCGAACACAAAACTGTTAAGTGTACTCGCATCGAAACGTGCAGAAACTTAAAAGAAAAGTAGCAAAAACCAACGCCAAATTCATCGAGCGACCGGGAATACTCACCACATGCAAGAACTCGACCGGAGAACTTGAAGGAAGACGGTCCAGATAACCGGAGAGTGTTGGTCGGCTTTGGGCGCCAAGAAATGCAGTAGAAATTGGCGATCCCCGCCATTGCTTTGGAATTTGGATAATGATTTGCCGTTTCATTCAACGACTTGTTACTGGGAACGCTCTAATGAGTGATGATGATAGAACAGACCTAGCCTTGCCCTTGAATGTTCAATATATTACGAAAACCTCCAGCAATGTCAGCACCACGGACCTTCTGCATCCCGGGGCTCTTAGAAGTTAAAACCATTGTCGCAAACAGCGATTTTGGTCAATGTGTGAATTATGTGATTCGAATGCTCCGTGGCGCAAAAGCACGTGAAGCCAGCATTCTCTCCATTTCTGCGCCCCGCCTCACAAGGGGCGCCCCACCACGTCCCACGGCACATCCCCACCGTGCCGTGCCGGGTCAAGATATCTATATCTATACTATTATAAAAGTGTGAATAGTTCCTATGGCTTCTGGATTTTTTTTGACTAAAATACCCCTCTTCCCTAATTAAGTCCCATATTTAAGACATTAACTCCCACTTTCTCTCATTAAATCCTATATTTAAGGTATTTTATATCATTAAATAGCACTAATTAAATCAAGGTTAAAAGACTTAAACCTCTCTATACTATTATAAAAGTGTGAATAGCTCCTATGGCTTCTGAATTTTTTTGAAAAAAATACCCCTATTCCCTAATTAAGTCCCATATTTAAGACATTAACTCCCACTTTCTCTCATTAAATCCTATATTTAAGGTATTTTTATATCATTAAATTCCACTAATTAAATCAAAGGTAAAAGACTTAAACCTCACCTGATTTTTGTGTTAAATATTAATCCTTACATTCTCTTTTCAAAATGCAATAATACCTCCCCTATCAAATGCTTTAGCGTTATATCTAATAAAAAATTTTAAAAGACAAATATAACATTACATGTTATAAAAGCAATGCTGGGATTATGTTTAATGGACTAATACTTCCCTTCTCTCTCTTTTGGTCAATTGAATGTTGGAATAACTATGGATTGGTTTTGACTCTAACAAAACATCTAAACTTATTTGATAATGAGTGGATGGGTTTTTTGAAAAATAAAATTACTTAAATAATTAATTAAATAAATATCAATATTATTTTAAATATATTTTAATATACAAATAATAGGGATAATAGCATATAAGGGCAACTTTTGGGGTTTAATATCAATAAAAGTAATATTTTAAAAAAAATCAAAAATAGGTTAACTTTTTAAGGGCAACGTTGAAGGAGGTGGCCAGAGGTAGAGGTGGGCGACGACGGGCGGTGGTGCTGGTGAACAAATGGCAAGAAGAAGATGATGAACAATGTTTTTGCCCTTTATTGATATTATTTTTAAAAAGTTAACCTATTTTTAATTTTTTTAAATATTACTTTTATTGATATTAAACCCCAAAAGTTGCCCTTATATGCTATTACCCCTAAATAATATCATTATATATGTATAATTAGGGTCAGGGTGGGGCGAGGACCTCATTCCCCATCCTCGACCTTGACCTTGGTCGATGATCCCTATTAATCCATGTCCCCATTCGACCCTACCAAAGCAATCCTCATCACTGACCCGATAGGGTCGAAAAAGTTGGATACCCATCGGGGATGGGAAATTTCCATCCCTAAAGTATATCGTTTTGTTTGATTTTTGGCAAGTAAACGACGCACATGGCGATGAGATATAAGCTATGGAGTCTACTAAGAAAGTTGGTGCAAGAACAACACAATACAATGTTGAAGGTAGCCACATCCCAGTCACAAGTTATATTAATAAAGCTTTAATGGTTAATGATGAGTCATTTTTTGCAAAACTTGTAAAAAAGGCTTAGTTTAGAAAGAGTATAAATAGAAATATGTACAGCATAAATACATACAAAATACAAGGTTTTGCACTCCACATATTTGCATTTGTACTCCTTCCAACCTGAGCCAAGAACTAATACAAATATGTACAGTGAAAATGCATGCAAAATAATATAAAACACAAGTTTTGCACTCTACATATTTGTATTTGTACTCCTTCCAAACTGAGCTAAAGGAACAAACATCCTTTCGGTTCACCACTTCACCTTCTCACCTTTAGATCTCTTCCAAAACTCATTGTGTCCTCTTATAATTTCTCTTCCTCTACTTCACCCATTTGATTAATATAACTTGGAGCTAATGTCATAAGAAATCGGGGTTCCCTCAGTCCCACATGAACAAGAATAAGTAGGCAAGAGAGAGAGAGAGAGAGAGAAATGGTATAAAGAATGTTGATCCATCAATAAAAAAATTTAAACAAATGTTTTTTTCTTTTTCTATTGTTGTATTTTATTTTCTACTCTTCTCAATGCTTGCACCAATCAAAAGAACAAATGAAGAAAAGAAAAATTGCCACGTGCAATGCACGTTCTCATTTACTAGTGTTGTACAAATACAATTGTAAGATTACAGGTTGGGGAACTACACATTACTGGGTCACAACATGTTCGGGTGGAAAACATTGGAGAGTTGGATTAGGGATTAGGGTGGAGGCAAACCTGCCCATTGACATTTCCATGAGTTTTTTTTAATGGTTTTCCATGAGTTAAGATCAGCTGCACCGACTCTTCTTGTTTAATGCTCGGCATTTGCTATTTACTTTGTTTGTAATGAGATCGGCTTCTATCAAGGCAAATCTGTGCCTATACCATTCTAATAGCCTTTTACAACTTTGTATTGGGAATATCTCCTCATGAAATAAAGCACACAGGTACAGAGATATTCTCAATGCAAGGCAAAAAGGCTGCTCGAATGAGCCTTGCCTTGATCGTGCTAATCCAACTCTTCAATGTTGGATTAGTAAACACGTGAGGATCACAAGTCTAAGCAAGTCTAATATATATAATAAATAATTTTTATTATATGCATACATATATACATACATACATACGTATATAATAAATAAATAATTTTTAATTTGTTATATGCAAAATAAAAAATAATTTTTATATGTTTGGTTTTTATTTTTTATAAAAACATTGGCTCACAATTGGAATTCGAACTTGCAAGCTTTTGAGCCAAGCTGAATTCGAACTCAAGTCTCTAGCTCGAATCAATTTCTAGCCTAACATTGTTTTGGCAAATCCAACACGAATAACTAAGTATTCGGCTTGGCTCAGTTCGAATCCACACTAATTCTAACCAACCGATGGTGACTCACTTTGTAAGTTCTCTAGCTTGGTGTACTATAAATTTGGGATTGTTAGAGGTTATGAATTATGATATGACCTATTTTATCAGTTAAAAGAACTACTTTGAACAATGGCCCCGCATGCATAGCTGATGTGGGGTGGTATTATTGTTCTAAACTGCCCTAACACAGCAATCAAGATAGCAGCCAGTCATTGAATTTGGTTATCACCTTTGAACACACTTAATAGGCAAATTTTTGGTCACTGGTGCTGAAACTTTTGAAGTTATGTTTTGAATTGATCTCAAGACCGAGTTATATACAATTACGAGACAACGGTTTCCTAGAGAAACTAGGAAACTAAACTTGCAAGATAGAATTTATAAATAAAGTCTGACTTTACAAATAATAAAAGAATAAAGAAAGAGGAAATAGATCTAAATCTGAATTGTTGTGTGAGTTCTTGTGGGCCTTAATAAGCTGATTCGATCCAACTTCTTCTACACTCCCCTTCAAGCTGAGGAGAGAAATAGAGTGAACTCCCACCTTGGTGTGGAGAGAGTGAAAAGCATCATTGGAAAGAGGCTTTGTAAATAGGTCACCTAGCTGATCTTGAGAAGAAACATAATGTGTAATGAGATGACCCAGCCCCACCTTCTCACGAACAAAATGGTAATCAAGTTCAATGTGCTTTGTTCAGGAGTGGAACACCAGATTTATAGGCATGTGTAAGGCACTAATGTTGTCACAAAAGAGAGTAGCTGGATGAGGAAAGGATGCACCAAGATCTTAGAAGAAGAAAGGTTATCCATGTTATTTCAGCCATGGTTGAGGCCATGGCTCTATAATCAGCTTCAGTGCTTGATTGTGCCACTGTAGATTGTTTCTTTGCAGCCCATGAGATTAAATTGGAGCCGAAGAATACACAATACCCTGTTGTAGACCGCCTGGTGAGAGGACACCCAACCCAGTTAGCACTAGAAAAACCATACAAGTCTATCGTACCAATAGAGTTGAGATGAAGCCCACAATCAAAGGTGCCTTTGACATAACGTAAGACTCTTTTCAATAGCTTGGAATGATGAACTGTAGGAGAATGCATGTATTGTGAAAGCAAATTCATAGCATAAGACAAATCTGGGCGAGTCATAGTTAAATATTGTAATGAACCTAAGATTTTTCTGAACTCAAGAGCATCTAAGGGTGTTGAAATAGCCTTACGATTAGTCGTGTGCTCGATCAAGAATGCTTTTAGCATGCTTTCCTTGTGATAGAAATAGTCCATCCTTGGTTCTTGTGACTTTAATTCCAAGGAAATAGTGAAGTGAACCCAAATCGTTCATGGCAAATTCAGTACTTATAACAGTTGTAAACTCCTGTAAGAATAAAGAATCACTTCTAGTAAATATGATATCATCAACATATAACAAGAGTATGATGGTCCCTCTACAGGGGGGTGGGGGGGAGCAACACTTTATTTGGAGTTGATTTCTTTTGATTCATTTCACCATGAGTCCTGAAAAATTGACAGTTCAAGATTTTCACAATTTGGAGGCGTCTTTGAGTTAACATATGGATAGCAAGTTTCATCAAATACAACATGACGTGATGTGTAGACATTCGGGTGATGGTTGAGCTGGTCAAGGATGCCATGTGGCAATCTCCACTGCCATTCTCTCTCTAACAACGTTGGCATCATGTGTGACGGAAGAGCACAACTAAGAATGAGTGTCCTACATGGACAAGGAAGCAAATTCCGCCACTAAGGAAGAGGAAACCTCCCGAAGACCCCGATGGACGATCTCATCCCGACAACCCCAGAAGCCTTATCCATCTAGGACACAGACACCCAACTATAAATAGGTGTTCCCCGCTCGAGGTAAGGGACCTTTTGGAAGAACACTCTTTGAAAACCTCTTCGGCTCGGACCAACATTATTTCAACCTGTTCGGCTCGCCC